GAGGAATTTCAGGGTCGCTATGCAGAGACAGGTAATGGCAAAACCACCCCTGTTCGTCTCGGCCCAGTCTCGGAAGCTAAGCGAGGTCGGCATGGGAGACCACCGAGGAATTTCAGGGTCGCTGTGCAGAGACAGGTAATGGCAAAACCACCCCTGTTCGTCTCGGCCCAGTCTTGGAAGCTAAGCGAGGTCAGCATGGGAGATCACCAAGGAATTTCAGGGTCGCCATACAGAGACAGATAATGGCAAAACCACCCCTGTTCCTCTCGGCCCAGTCTCGGAAGCTAAGCGAGGTCAGCATGGGAGACCACCGAGGAATTTCCGGGTCGCCACGCAGAGACAGATAATGGCAAAACCACCCCTGTTCCTCGGAAGCTAAGCGAGGTCAGCATGGGAGACCACCGAGGAATTTCAGGGTCGCCACACAGAGACAGATAGTGGCAAAACCACCCCTGTTCGTCTCAGCCCTGACCTGAGTGGCTCAGACTAACCCAAAGTCAGATATCAGAAGCTAACCGCCAAGGTGATCCAGGGTTGCTACGCAGAGGCAGGCAGTGGCACACCTCCTCTGACCGTCTCTTGGGGATCGCCATAAGTCAGCTTCCACTTGACGGCCAAAAAGAAAAGTACTGGCGTCAGTCCAGTGTTTGAGCGAGCAGCATGGAGGATCGAGGTGACGGGAGGGGACTGCTCGCTTTTCGTCCATTTGCTCTCACTGTGGTGGCCCAGCAGCAAAGGTGGGCAAGACGTCTGTATCTTTCGTCGCTGTGGGGGAAAAAACTCTCGGCATGCCCAGCTTGTCAGCCAGGAGTCAGACGAACGGTACTTGCGGAAATGCCATCATCCTTGCAGCCGTTAGAGCCATAGGACTTAACTTTGTCCTTCTTTTCATTCCGTTCTCTCTTCCAGAACAGGAAGAGAGAATCGTGGCCTCTCCCCCCCCCCCCAGCCTGGCTGGGGGTCGTACTTACGATTTGGAGCTTGATGGTTTTCCCTTCCAACTCGATGGTCCGGATTTTGAAGTCCACCCCGATGGTGCTGATGTAACTGTCTGTGTAGGTGTCATCCTAAGGAAGGAGAATCATAGAATCATGGAATGTTAGAGTTGGAAGGGACCTTACAGGTCATCTAGTCTAACCCCCTGCACTCTGCAGGAGTGTAGCCAAAAGAGAAAGGAGCTGTAAACTCACAGGCTGATTTCGCACTAGAGCTGCCTCGCGGTTGCGCCGCCGTTTGCCCCGACACTATTGCTCAATTTCACAGCCGAAGCTGCGGGGCTGCATTTGACCTGCGGCTTCGCCTGATTTCCTCCGCAGTTGCGCCGCCGTTTGCCCCGACACTATTGGTCAATTTCACACCCGAAGCTGCGGGGCTGCATTTGACCCACAGCTTCGCCCGATTTCTTCCGCTGTTTCGTGATCCTCAAAAAACAGGATCACGAACCTGCGGGGGAAATCGGGCGAAGCCGCGAGTCAAAATGCAGCCCCGCAGCTTCGGGTGTGAAATTGACCAATAGTGTCGGGGCAAACGGCGGCGCAACCGCGAGGCAGCTCTAGTGCGAAATCAGCCACAGAGTTTGGGAGTCTTTTCCTGCAGAGGAAGTGAGTTTCCTGCAGAGGAACCAGCGTGCCGGGAATGTCAGGCTGACGTCTGGGAGGCTCGGATTCAAATCTCTGCTTGTGCTGTGAAGTCTGCTGGGTGGGTGACTTTGGGCCAGTCTTTCAGCCTAGCCCGCCTCATCAGACCTTGGAAGCTGAGCAGGGCCGACCCTGGCATGTATTTGGAGGGGAAACCTCCAAAGAGTACCAGGGTTGGGAGGCAGAGGCCCCAGTAGGAGTCACCAGAGGTCGCCATGACTTCCACGCACACCCACACAAATGCAAAACAATACCCCCAAAATCTTGGGGTCTCTAAGATGCTACTGGACTCAAATCTGACTCAGCATCTTAACTGACGAGTTGTCTTTCCTATCTGCTTGCCTGCGCAGAGCTGCACTGTTTAAGCCACTGAACTCCGTAGGCTGCAATCCCATGTACATGTACCTGGGTGTAAGCCCTATTCCCTCTAAACTGTGGAGTCTTGGTGAACAGAAATTCTACTTTGTGAGCGACTGGCCATAAAGTTGTGAGCGAGTGATATGGCTGCTGCATAAATTAAGTCTGCTCTGGAGCCCTCCTTCCTGCGCTGAGACAAAAAGGTGTGAGCCGGAGGCTAAAAAACTGAACTAGCTCACACCAACTCAGCTTAGAGGGAACACTGTGGCCCTGTTAGTCTAGCAAGTCAGAGTCTGGAAGTGCCAGATGAAATCAAAGAAGAGCACTAAGTAGAATCTCAGTTTTTGTGGCTTTTTGTTGTTGTTGTTCAGTTGCACAGTCAAGTCTGACTCTTTGCGACCCCGTGGGCCATATCACGCCAGGTCCGCCTGTCTTTATGGAGCAAATAAATAGAAGAAGATGAAGAGGAGATTGGATTTATACCCCGCCCTTCACTACCCAAAGGTGTCTCAGAGCGGCTTACAATCTCCTTTCCCTTCCCCTCCCCACAACAGACACCCTGTGAGGCAGGTGGGGCTGAGAGAGCTCTGACAGAAACGGCTCATTTTTCAAGAACAGCTCTTATCAGAACTATGGGTTGCCCAAGGTCATCCAGCCAGGTGCAAGTGGTGGAGTGGGGAATCAAACCCGGTTCTCCCAGATTAGAGTCCGCGCACTTCACCACTATACCAAACTACTGTGGCTTTTTCCTAACGCTATTGGAGGATAAGCGAATCCAACCCTTAGCTGGAGGAGGATCCAACCCTTAGCGAATCCAACCCTTAATCTCTGCCTTCTTCTCTACTGAGATTCTAGCAAAAGCAATCTGAACTCTGCAGGGAGGGCTTACCGCAAAGCGCAGCAGGAGGCATGACTTCCCGACGCCAGAATCACCGATCAACAGGAGTTTAAACAAGTAATCGCTATTGTTGGAGAAGGAAAGAGGGGGGGGGAAGTATTTGGTGAGGTTTTTTTACGAAGGAGGCCAAAGACTATATTCTTGAAGAGGAGATGAAATAGAGGTTTATAAAATCACACTGGAACTTGGGAGCACCCAGTGAAATAGTTGGGAAATGGGTACAGGACAGAGAAAAGGAGTTATTGAACTGTGGAATTCACTGCCAGTGGAGGTAACGATGGAGGGAGTTGACAAGGAGAACTTTTTATTATTCATTTAATTAATTAATTAATTTATATCCCGTCCTCCTTGCCTGGGCAGGCTCAGGGCGGCTTACATAGAACACATAAAACAGTTAAAACAGAGAAATTAGTTAAAATCACAAGGATACGGTTATAAAACATAGTAAAATATCTTATAAAGAGCTAGTACAGTGCGTGCGTGATGGCGGGCGCTAGCAGCATCTGCAGGCGTACAGTCAGTTAACATCGTAGTCTGGGTTGTACCGGATGCTAGTAATGTTGTTAATATTTTGGGCCAGGGCCTCACTTTATTGGGTGTGGCTCCCTAGTCGAAGGCCTGGTGGAAGAGTTCTGTCTTGCAGGCCCTGCGGAACTCCCTAGTCGAAGGCCTGGTGGAAGAGCTCCGTCTTGCAGGCCCTGCGGAGCTGTCAAAGGTCCCGCAGGGCCCCGATGTCGTCCGGGAGCTCATTCCACGAGTAAGGGGCCGCCACTGAGAGGTCCCTGGCCCTCGTCACAGCCAGTCTGGCTTCTTTGGGGTCCGGAAGGGCCAAACGATTTTGGGACCCAGGTCGAAGTGCTCTCTGGGAAACATATGGGGAAAGGTGGTCCCTTAGGTATGTAAGCCCCTGACCATATAGGGCTTTAAAGGTAAGAACCAGCACCTTGAACCGAATTTGGTATGCTACAGGCAGCCAGTGCAAAACGTTTAGCATAGGCCGGATGTGCTCCATCCGCACCAGCTGCTGCTTCTGGATTTGGGGCAAGGGCAGTCCCATGTAGAGAGCCTTACCGTAGTCCAGCCTCGAGGTGACCATGGCAGGGATCACTGTTGCCAGGTCATTGCCTTCGAGGAAGGGAACCAACTGCCTGATCAGCCGGAGACGATAAAAGGCTGACTTGGCAGCGGCTACTACCTGGGCCTCCATCATCCAGGACAGCCCCATAGCTAGGGAATTTTTGGGAGGGGGCCTCGGGGGGCCTGCCAGCGAATTAAATGAAAGTACAGTGCAGGGGGTAAGTTAGAGCACTTTGGGGGCAGCCCAAGGGGGGGGCCCAGAAGAAACACTAGGGGGCCAGGCCCCGTGGGCCCCATGTTAGCTATGGGCCAGATCCAGGAGCACTCCCAAGTTCCCAACCTCCAGTGCTGGAGGTAAGAGGTAGTAAGAGACCGGATAGTTCTAAATAATTGGGCTGGGCGGGAGCTCACAGTCGTAATCGTGGCCGTGTCATAATCTCTTTTAGCGGCTCTGACTGCCATCTCATAGGATCTCATAAACGTCCCTTAGGATGCTCTTGTAGCTTCGTCGCGAGCACACCGCCACTGTCTCTCTAACCGTCTGAGCCCTCGCTTCAGCAGCCGCAACTCCTGTGTATACCATGGGGTGAGCCTAGACCGGGGGGCGCAGAGGTGTGGCTCCCTAGTCGAAGGCCTGGTGGAAGAGTTCTGTCTTGCAGGCCCTGCGGAACTCCCTAGTCGAAGGATGGTGGAAGAGCTCCGTCTTGCAGGCACTGCGGGTGAGCCTAGACCGGGGGGCGCAGAGGACATCGGGGAGCGGTTTCTTTGATGGCTGCTGAGAGTCAGCTGTGCCAGTCCTCTACAAGTTCATCTAACGAGCAGCCAGGGGGCATTGGATCCCAGAGAGCCATCTGAAGCCGCTTAGGGTCCATTTGGCTCCGCGGGTGAGCTAAAATTTGCTCGCCGCCCAAACAGGGTCAGGGTGGAACATTCACACGGGCCTTTAGGGCAAAGTGGTCCGGCCATGGAACGGCCGTAGCAGTAATTCGGTCCACCGTAACCCCCACTACAAAGATCAGGTTGAGCATGTGTCCTGCTTGCTGAGCGGGGGCCGCAACATATTGGGAGAGTCCTAGCAACACCAGGTCCATTGCCTGTGTGAAAGCTGTATCGTCGGCATGGGCACTGAAATCACCCAAGACTATCAGTAAGGGGCAGGGGTCATTTAGTAGAAAAAGAGCTGCATGAGCTCATTAGCATAACTTATTTACATATGCCACACCCCCTGACATCACTGGAAGTGTGTCAGAAGGCAACACCCACTGCTCAGGCTCCATTGGACTGTTTTGGATGGCTAGCTGTTGGGGGGGGG